GAAGTTCTTAGTGATCTTCTAAGAACCTAAGGAATATATTTCAGGTGGATACGCAAAGGGAATCATATCGAACCAGAGGCATTGGTGGTATGGTCAGGTCTCCCAATTGAGGATGCAACTTGGGAACCTTACTTGGATTTATAGAATAGATTTCTACATCTTGACCTTGAGGGCAAGGTCGCTTTCAAGGGAGGAGGGACTGTTGAGACGCAAATAAAGGGAATACAAGTGTACAAGAAAAGGCCATGCCAACCTTTAAAGAATGTAACTAACAACCAACCACTAGAACAAACAAACTAACAAACTAGACAAGTGAAGAGGCAAGTATAATAGAATTATAACAGCAGTATATAAATAAGGAAAGGAAGCTAGGAGGGGATTATCGATTTGGGAATACAATCTCTCTCTCTCTCTCTCATTCAGGAGGCAGGCTCCCTCGAAAGAGTCCCTAACATCGTATTGATACCTTAATCCTTGCTTCCAATATATTAGATTATTTATGTATTAAAGCGGAAGGAGACATATAGATCACAACAGATTGGATTCAGAAGGAGAATTTGGGGGATTGGACGTTGTGCATTAACCAGCATAAACAAAACCCTTGGCCCAAAACCTGCAGATTTCATTTCTGCAGGTCCCAACATGTCGTAATAACAACAACAGATGCACTAGCTAGAGAAGGGATGCAGCATGGTGAACCATATGGAGGATCCTATCCCCTGGGGTAATACTTGATTGTTGTGTGGGTTGAAAGCTTGTATATTGGTATGGAGAGAGTAGCAAGAGGGCTGATTCTGTCTCAGTTTTTATGGAATACCTCTTGTTTTATTATTTCTGTACTATTTTATTTGTTTTTCTAATAAAATCTGATTAGTTAAATGATTTCCATTGAAAGATATTTTGTGGGAAATATCTGTAAATTTTGGGGGACCATGTGTGTAAGTTAACCAAGCCTTAAATATCAAGGGTTTGATTTATTACTTTCACATTAAACCTACTGTTCTCAAAGTTTATCTGTTATTACCATTTTTCCTTTTTTAACATCTTTAATACTTCCCTGGTGATGAGCAATGATGACTGGTTTAAATGAGAAGATTGCAATTCACTTTTGCTTCAGGTTTTGTTTTACCTCATCTGCACTGCAAACAAACGAAGCGAAGTAAAACCTAAAATAAAGGTAAACCAGTATTTACATTTGATTCATTTGTACCCCAATACTGTTCCACTAATGCAAATGAAATTGCACTACAAACAAATAACGTGTTTTCTTCTCTTAAAAAATCATGGAGCCTGGTATTGTTGTCATCTCAGTTTTGAGAATTTTGATGGAAATCATGATTCACTTAATCTGCGTTGTATTCATATGAATCTCCTCATAGTTCAATTCATGGAATGGCAGTACATTGAAACTTCATCACATGTTTTTTACTCAAAAAAGAAAGAAACTTCTTATGCCCCATTCACTTTTTGGTAAGTCACTTACCTGGGTAAATGTATTTACCTAGATAAGTGTTTTCCAGTAAAGACTTATCCGGGTAAGTGCATTTACCCATGTTCTTTTATTTTCCATATTAATTAGGTAATGACCATCTTAGTCATAAAAAATTCATTATTAAAAGGGACATTTTTGTCCCATACAAGTATTGACAATTTTTCCTAGATGAGAGAGTTAATTTATCCACCTAAGAGATGGGCATTACTTATCCGGATAAATAATATGCAAGAAAATAAACTTTCACTGATTCCTACATAAATCTGAAAAATAAACATAGGTTTCTTGGTCTTTCCCGCTTCTCAAAATCCAAAAAAAGCACGTATTCTCTCTCTCTCTGCTTTTGCCACAAACGATGAGACCCATCATGGTTTAGTTTCATGCTGACTGCAGGATCGCCCTCTTATCATGAGAAAGTTTGGTTGCAAGGACAACTCTGTAGTTATAGTACGACGACCAAGACAAGTAATAACCAATCCTTCGATTCATTTCTTTTCTTATGGTAAAATTAGGGCTGCGAAAGAGTTGTACTTGATTTTGCCCAGCCAAACAAGATTTTTCAAGGATAAAGCCAAAACACCTATGTGTGCTTAGTTGGACTTCATGTACAAACTCAACGGAAATACAAATGCAATCATTCGCAATATGAAGAAGAAGAAAATTCGCTCCTTGAATATTTTACACAACCATCCTTTAAAATGTGCTATTGACGAACTCAAACTGAAAACTAATTAGGCGTTCGATAGTTGAAAGCTTCAATATTAAGAAAAGGGTTAAATACTTGATAGACTAAAACTTATTCTACTGTTTGAAAACTACTTAAAATACCCCTTATTGAAAAGAAACCAAAGAATCATTCCGCTAACAGATGCTGATAATTGTTTATTGTCAAAAAAATTAGGGATAATTTTAAGTAAATTTTTAAATAATAGGATAAGTTTTATTCTATTTGCTAAATCATAATTAGGGTACTTTTAAGTATTTAACCCTTTAAAAAACTGAGAAGGACCAGTTGAATCATGAACCAGGCGGTCCAAGCCCCTAGCCAGTTCAATCAAACCCCAAACTGTTGAACCAGCCAATGATCCAACAAAAAAAAAACGTTGAAGCAATCCTGATTTTTTGAAATTTTTAAACGTAAATGATAACTTTGAAATGCCATAATTTTATGTTCAGTTGATCAATTAGGGTGGTTTTCTTTATTATATATATATATATATATATATATAATAAACATTGGTTAAACCATTGACCCGTGAACTTCTCTCTTTTTTCTAAGTTGATATTCGGTGGATGTTGAAAAGCTTTAAGCTCAGTTTGGAAAAAGTACAAATGCAAATATGTACAGCGTAAATACATACAAAATAATATAAAGTATAAGGTTTTGCACTCTACATATTTGCATTTGTACTGCTTCCAAACTCAGCCATAAGGATGCTAGCATCCTAAATTTAAAGAGTCAAGAAAAACTCTTCAACAGCGCTAATAATTCCTTGAGTAACTCAAACTCATCCAAATTGTAGATTGTGAATTTGAATCAGGTTGGGAATATGCCTGGGCCCAAGGTATAGGTTTGGAAATCAGATATGCTCCTTGCAGAGCGTGCTTCACACCAATCTCATAGTATATCACTGCCTTGTATTGGGAACATTTTTTTATGAATGACAATTTCAAGTATGAGAGATGTTCTCAATGCATGGGCAAAAACATTATGATTAAAGTCGATACGTATTGAATAATAAGGCTTCTCAATACACCCTATAGGGGGTGTTTTGGAGTTTAACCTGGTTCAGGGGGTAGACCTTAAATTAACCTCTCTGAACCAATAAGCCCCTATCGACGTATCAAGTTGTATGATATTTTGAAACTTGATTGTAACATTGGTGTGAGGCACACTTTGTGACAAGCAAATCCAAACTGTAATTGGCAACTCCTGCCGAAGTTGCGTCACCATGTACAGGGGTGTTCATTATATGGTTTAGACCGTGAAACTGAACTAAATCAAATCATAATTGGCAATTTGGTCAGCTTTGAGTTTAAAATGGTTTGGTTTGATAGATAATTCCTCAAACCATAATTGTTTTTGTTTAGTTTGGTTTTCTAAATTTTAGAAATCAAACCATAAATTGTATTAAACCAAATTATTTATGATATATTTATTAATGTATATAATATATAATACATATGTTTAAAAATATGCATGTATGTATATATTCATTTAATATTTTATACACTATTGTTGGTTGTTTCAATTTTTAACTTATCATTTGATGTCGAATGAGTTTTTTATATTTGAAAAGGTGTAAATATAATTTATATGATAATACTAAGTAACAATTGTCAATATTTATATTTGAACTGTATTTATTATTTATGAAGATATACATGTTATTTAGACTTTCTAATTAGATAAAACCCAATAAAATATCGCAAGCCATATTAAAAATCGGACCAAAATCTAATAGAATGACGTGGTCTAATTTACATGGTGTTTGGAAGTGTGGGCGATTTTTGGGACCGATTTTCAAGAAAAAATGTCAATATTTCTAAGACCTGTTTTTCACAAAAAAATGCTTCTACCATGTAGGCAGTGAGTAATACTATTCTGTTTGGTAAGATGACTTTCATCACCGTTTTTCATGTATGTGCTAATGGGTAAGCACCACATGGAATATACATCAATCAACTGTTGGGGGAAACGGTTCACCGATGCATGAGTTTTCATGTATTGGTGAGATCCACATGCCCGATTTTTTAATAATCGGATCAATCAACCGTTGGGGGAAACGGTTCACCGATGCATGAATTTTCATGTATTGGTGAGATCCACATGCCCGATTTTTTAATAATCGGCTGAACCAAACAATGAGATACATGGATATTTGTTGAAATGCCTATATCAATCTAATATGACACCATTTTTTTGAAAAACGGCCATGGTTCCAAACATCCCCTTAGTTTCTAATAAAATAGCTTAATTTTGGCTTAAAAAAATAGTTTGATTTTCTCCAACCGAACTAGTGATAATGGAGCCAACATGGGAAAACGTATACAAGATTTGTAATGATTTCCTTACATTTTCCTTCCTTTCCCAATTTCTTCCTTCAAATCAAACACAGCCCACCGACCTAATGATGATGGGTCCACATGATCCATTTTGTCGGATCAACAACCCGATTATTAAAATTTGAAAGTGCGTACAGCTTACGCACCTCGAAACTAGGAGAAAAGAAAGAACGCATAACCAAACGAAACGTATTAAGAAAAGTTGACAATATCTCATGAATCCAGCGTTCATCGTACTCTATGTATCTCACTCTGTGACTACCCTTTGATCCTAATTCATCCATCTCAACCGTTCAAACTCAGCTCTCCATGTTTACTCCAGATCATTAATATTGAATATGGAAGTTTCTTGGCCACGTGTACGGTAAGAAGTTAAGAATTCACCAAAAACAATAGAGCACAAATATAGTACATGTGATATGTCAAACGAAAAGGTTTGGAGAAGAGATTCCATCACCACCATCTCCTTTAAAAGATGCTGGTGGCTTGAGCCTACGAGTTCAGGCAGAAGTTTTACACAGTTTGGTTTGTTCCTAATCTTCACAGGGAGGAGCTTCGATTAGGGTTTCTCTCTGATCTCTTCTGTCGAATTTTTGTGTTAATGGAGAAAATTAGACGAGCATCTCATGCAGGATCATGGTACACCGATAACGGTAAGCCAGTCCCAATTTCGAGTTTTATAAGTATCTTCTCGGTGTCTTTACTCTTTAGTTTCACAACTTATTTCTTCTAAAGGTTTGTTTGTCTTTGTAATGTTTGAGTAGGGCTTGCCTATGATGTGTTTTGGAATTTGGATTGATCATTGAAACTGTTTTGTTTCTGCGTCTATGTCCTTCTTTGGTGTTTAGGATGATTCTTGAGACGTTTGTGGGTCCATATGTGAAAATTTCAGTGGGATAGGTTGTTGGAGTTGGAGAATTTATTTGAGATGGATTCTTTTATTGGTAGGAGAGAAAAGGAAAAAATTTAGCGCCAAAAAGGAGATTTTGTGTTGTTTACCTGAAATATTGACTCTCAATTTAGTCCTTTGAATTTGATTACACTGGACGATGGTCAAACTTTTTGAAATTGGGGAAACTAACATCCATGTCGTAGCTTGTGGTGCAAGTGTTCTTGGAGAATTAATTTATAGAGAGCTGTTAAGCTTATATGGTTTACATAAGCTTATGGGATTACTTGAGATGCAGTACTTGATAACTACAAGGTCATGGCTATGCTCTCTGAGATCACTTGGGAGCTTGCAAGAGAATGCGATTTTGTAAAGTTTTGGTTTGTGCTGATGCTCGGTATTGCACCTCTCTTCACGGATTTGTATTTACTGGTAGGCTTGAAGTTTGAAAGTAAAGCAAGCATTACCTGTGAAAAACAAATGGAAAATAATAGTCCTAAGAAGTCACTTTTGTAGTTGTACAAGATTGCTCTTCTGATAGGAAAGGAGGTTATGACCTATGAAAATTATGAAAAACAAGTTGGTCAATTGGAACATCAAAAGCAGTTCCTTGTCTCAAGGAAAATTCAAGAAATGGAGTAGAGGAACCCAGCATAAAATGAATAATTTATCAAGTTTGGATCTTCATACTAGGGCTCTAAAAGATGTTACAGAACAACTTCGAGACGACTAGGATATTTGCTTTGTTGTCTGCCTACAATAGGATAAGGGATGATGACTGGGACTTACATGCACTCCTTAGAGTGTAATTACCCAATAATAGTCCCTTCTAAATAGGTCTTAGGAGGGATAGACTTGATACTGACCTAATTTCTTTTGCACAAAGTGTCTACTCTCAGATTTGAACCCAGGTTCTTATGACTTTTGGCCTGAGATTTTACCATTGCACCAAGCAATGGCCTTTAAAAGCAGTATTTAAATAAGTAATAATATGTTGTGCTCTTGGATTCCTTGGAAGATGATAGAAAAGATGGGGCAATGATAGCTCTGAGGAAAAAAAAACATGACTTCATGTATAATCTTTAACACAATAATAATGCATCATTGAGCTTTCTTCTTCATCTCATTATTGTTTTCATGGGAACTTGAAAATGGGACCTATTAAAACAACACGATGAAGAAAAAAATTATTGCTTTATGTTCTCTAGCCTTAAAATCTCCTCCTCAATCCTGAATTATCAGGTCATTTTACAAAGATACTCCACAATAGAATCTGAATGGCATATACAAGGTTCTTTTTTTTTTTTCTTTGGTGATGATATATAAAAATAAGTGCCTGCAATGAAGTTTATTTTTTATTTCTTTAATATCTTTCTTTTTATTGGATAAATTCTTTTTTTCAGAATGCAGAGTACATATATGAAGGATGGAAATATAATTTTATTAAGCTTGAGAATAACTAAAAGCAGGTCTGCATGCATCTATTATATTACTGAATCTAAGTTATGACATAGAAGTGCTGACTGATAACAGGGCAAATTGGGATATGCAGGGAGAGTTTGTTGTTAAACAAGAAATAATGTATATAGACTAGTTTCCATATGCATAATTTTTCTTAATGTGTTTCCCTTGACACATTCAGATTTCTCTCAGCTAGAGGATATCTTTACCATTTATCAAGGTTCCAAATATAGACACGGGTAGGGCGTATCGGCTTGTGTTGGTACATTTTTTTTACTTTTATTTGTTTTTTTTTTCAAAACTGGTTCAGAGGGGCCGGTTTAAGGCCCGGCTACCCTCTGAACCGGTGGCTGACTCGATACAACCTCTGGAGGGGTGTATCAGTAAGCCATCGGCACGATACGTATCGGCCGATGCGTATCGATACTTTGAACCTTGCCATTTATACTATTTCTGAAAAGACTTCATATATAATTCATAGAAAAATCCAAATTTGCAAAATGTTTTACATGTTCTACTTTTAATATAGTTTTTTTCCAAGACAAAGCTGGTTTCGACCTTCTTTAGTTATGTCTTTTATCAACAATATTCTCTCAAGGGAAAAAAATCATCTAGAGGAAAAAAATTAAAAATCCTGCTATATGTTCACCTCAGTTTTTTTTGTTCTCCTGTTTTTCTTTTGAAATTTGTGTCCTAGTATTCTCAGGAGTGCTTCTAACACTTTCATTTTACTTTATAGCAAACAAACTAGGAGAAGAGCTTGATGGATGGCTCAGAGAAACTGGTCTGGCTAAATCTCCTGATGTAAGAGGTGTTATTGCTCCGTAAGTGATTCTGAGCGGTCCTCACCATTATGTTTCAGAATTAGTAACATGCCCGAATTGTTGAGGCATTCCTTGCCCTTATGGTGTCATTTAAATGCCAGGCATGCTGGTTATTCATACTCAGGTCGTGCAGCAGCATATGCATTTGGCAACATAGATCCTACAAACATGTAAGTTTTCTACTTTCTTCTACTCCTCTCTCTCTCTCTCTCTCTCTCCCCCTCTCTCTCTGGGTGGGTGCGGCTTTTATCACCTTATTCTTAACTTCTTACTGTATTGAGGTTGCCCTGTCAATTTGTCATGGTGCATAGACAGAGTGTATTTCCAATTTAGCATTTGGTGGATGATGAACTTCCATGTTGCCTATGGATTTGGGGAACTGGGTAGGATATCCAAGAGGCTTTCTTTCTTAGCATTTTACTGCTCAGCAATTTTCATATATCATTGATTGTGTGTGTTTGTTTTCCAGATATGCTTAAAGATAGACATGGTTATTAATCATTTTAATGTGTTTTGTTGTTTGATGATGCACATTGTTTTAGAACGGCTGAAGGAGATTCATGCCTGGTAATAAAATGGCTGAGGATGGTAAAGCTGCTCTATGGACTTTTTYTTTTTTTTTGAGAAAAGGACGACTTTCATTAAAATAAACAAAGGATGGCTCTCCTCAATGCCTTTGTAAATCCCTCCCCACCACAGATTTAGCCGAAAAGTCAAACTCTCTATTCAGCTTCTAGAAATCCATCTAAAGTGACAAAAAACAAAGGACAAAATTTCTTATCGAAATGAACTCAGTAAAATTAAGTGGCTAAATAGGGAGATGGCAGTAAGGTATCAAGGGGTACAAAAGGTTGGGTAATAGCATGGCTGATGCTTTAGCAAAACAAGGGGTGGTGAGAGATAAAGGTTTTATCTCTAAGAAATTGTATGTATTTTTTATGTTTGTAATTAATAAAAGTGAAGGTTATTGATTTAGGATTAAGCTACTTTTTCTTTTGAAGTTGTCAAGTGTTGAGCTATATAAAGCACACTTTGTTAATAAGGGTCATTTAACCTTTTCTTCGTTAACACAATCAAGGGAATTTATTAATACGTTATAAAAAAGAGAGAACCTCTTCGGTTCAATGGATAGGACTGAAAGGAACAACTGCAAACAGCATAAAAATGAAATACCATGGTAAGTCTTAAATCTGAAGTTTTGCAATAGGTGGCACTGAAGAGTTGTTTAACCTGTTTGGGTTTTATTTATTTATTTTAATTAAAATATCAGTGGACAATATTCAGAGTACCTATTGGTGGATGGGTTGATTTTTGTACTGGACACATGTAGGAAGAAAGTATGGTATTGCAAGGTGCCAACTAGTGGGTTGGTAAGGTCTCCTGCTGGTCATAGTGGAGACTTGGGATCGAATCCCACCTGCACCTGGGTTGGGGGATGGGCTACCCCCCGTTGTGTAGCCCTTCAAAAGAAATCAAAAAAAAAAAAAAAGAATAAAGTATGGAATTTGGATGGTGATACAGGTAATGGTTGTATGTAGGAGGCTATTGTTCAATATTGTGCTGCCTGCCTATTCTTAAGCAGAGCAGCTCTGCACAACCAGAAAATTGGAGAACGGAAATGCCTGCTCCACCAAGGGCAGTGGGGACACAGCCAATTTGGTTCCATGGAGAGGCCTGGTATCTTTTGGTACAGAGAGGAGAGAAATTTATGTGTGCCATTATATTACTGGGTAACATGAGCCTATATCATTTCTGTTATTGATAAAAAAAGAGCCTATATCATGGAATAATATCCCCATCTTGATCTAAAAGATTTTTCTTTGTATTTTTTTTTTGGAACCAAAGATGAGGGTGATTTGGCCTTCCTCCATGGTTTTGCATAGTTGGGTGGTTTCTTTGTTTACATTTTAACATGACCATATGTCTATATGATCTTTTCTTTTAGCATTTTTATGAAATCCTATATCTAGAATAGTCACAAAAATGGGAACGTTGGTGCTATTTAAATACCCTATGCATTTGATTTTCTTTTCATTAACATGGCCCCATCACATTCTAATCTTACAATATAGCAGGCTTTTTGTAACTGTGTGCTGTCCATGCTATTTAGTGTAATGAGAGAACAGCGGTAATTGCTCTCTTTGTATTGCTAATATGTTACCAGACATAAATTTTCAGTTCTCGGGTGTTCCTTCTTGGTCCTTCTCACCACTATTACACTCCAAAATGTGCTCTTTCAAGGGCCACAGTTTACAAGACGCCTTTGGGAGACCTGCCAATTGATTTGGAAGGTATTGCAATTTTATCTTTTTTTATGGATGAATTATGTACTATTTACAAACTTTGATAAAATTTACCACATTTTTGAGATTGATAAAGTTCACAGGACTTTTTTCCTTTATCTTGCTTTTCAAAATGCTTTGGACATTCTTTTAATTCTCACACCCTTGGGTAATTTTTGCCAAGCAGACATGTATCTTTAATATGTTGTTCCTTTGTTCCTTGCATTTCCCTAGAGTGTACTTTATTTTCCTGTAATTATTTGATTTTCCTAATACTTTAAGAACATACTTTATTTTTCTTTTCTAAAAGACTTCTTATCTTGATTTTTTTCATAGAAATATTTTTGTACTGAAGGCATTATGTTGTTTCATAATGAAAATTGGCAAGCATAGCTGCAAGACTAATTGACATTAAATACGCAAATATGAGAACATCTTGATGCCTGATCTATCCAAAAAAAACACATCTTGATTCCTGTAAAGTTGGTTAACAGGAGAAAGTTGAGGGTGATAAAAGCTGTATCATATTCAATTTCTTGGTAGTCCAAATAAGTTTGAGATTACAATGATATTGCTTCTTGATATTGTTGGAGAGTGTACCATAATTTTATCTCCTGTTGTTCATATTGTCCTTCAATAAACTGAAGGAAAACTCACGTACACATTGTTCTTGGGATACCAGTCAATGAGGAGCTACAGGCAACAGGAAAGTTTGAACTTATGGATCTTCGAGTAGATGAGGCAGAACACAGCATGGAGATGCACTTGCCTTATCTTGCTAAAGTATTTCATGGGTAATCTTATTATAGATTAAGCTTTTATTCTGTACTTATTCATCACTGTGTCTAATTTTTAGTCATCTCTTGCAGTTACCCCGTAAAAATTGTACCTATTTTGGTTGGTGCTGTAAATTCAGAAAATGAGGCCATGTATGGAAAGTTGCTAGCTAAATATGTAGATGACCCAAAGAATTTTTTTTCTGTCTCTTCAGATTTCTGCCACTGGGGATCTCGGTATGCATCTCAAACTTATCCACCCTTAAACATTATTTAATTTTTGTTATTTTTTATGCTTTTCTTGCTAGATGCTTCTGTAATAACAACAACAATAATAACATTAATATATCAGCATTGATATGCTAAAAGGTAACATTTGCTGTAAAAATTGGGTAGTTGTTTTCTTGCAAACTTTTATTGTATAGGTGGGGTAGATGCATGAAGGCTTCCTCTTTTTTAGGCCTTTTTTTATGTGTTCTTATGAATAAATTACCTGCCATGTCTTTGGTATGTGTCATGTTACTCAAGGTACCATCAACCCTGGGCTTATAATGCATGATACCAGTAATAATTTGCCAAACTGCAGTTACCATCTCACTAAATAGTTCATTATCATCATCTAAGCCCCATCCTAACTATATGGGGTCGATCATATGGGTCCTGTTTTGCCATTGTGTTCTGTTTAGTGCCATATCTACCACTTCAACCCATGATATTGTTGGTTTGTTCCTAGCCCTTCTAGGCTTGTAGCCTCTTTAACTTGCGATTGGTTGCTTCTTCTTACAGGTGTTGTAAATGGTCTTCTATGCATATGACCAAACTATATTAGTATACTTCTCTCATGTTATCACCTATTAGAGCTACTCCTAGGTTCCTTTTGATGACTTCATTTCTAATCCCATCCCTTTTAGTTATTTGACTCATCTATCTCACAATGCACATTTCTGCCACTCATTTTTTGAACATGTTTCTTGATCACTCAACACTCTGCTCCATACAGAATTGCTGGCCCTACAACTGTTTTATAAAATTTTCCTTTTAACTTAGGTGGTATTTGTCTATTACATAAGACTTTGGATACATCCCTCCATATTCCCATCCTAGTCTAATTTATGAGCATAGTTGTCAAGGTAACCTTGGCAACAAGGCACTGCTCATGGATGGTTGCCTTGCTTAATCACCTACCTATTTTATACATGTTTCTTTGAAAAACTTTTATATTATTTGTTTTTTTATATTATAATAATTAAATAAGTATAAACTAAAATGTTGATTTTTTTTGGTGCATATACCAATTTCTTTTTATTATTTTCTTATTTATTAGGGTTCAATCAACACATGTTGGTGTGTGCTGTCTTGAACCTTCAAAAACTTGATCTAAATCAATGGGCAGGGAAGGAGCTTAAAATCCTGTCCAATCAACAGATTCTTTATCTTTATCATCATCATCAACAACACATTCTTCTTCGGCTCCTCCTCCTTCCACCCATTTTTTCCCTTTTCCTAGACAAAAGTAGGTACTCAAACCCTATATTTTCTGAATTTTCTTTTGTTTATTCTTTTTCTTCTCATAAATATGTTAATTTTCTATATTTTTAATATGAATCTTATACTTTTTCATGAAGTTTGTAGTAATTGCCAATGAAAGATGGTTGCTGGTTGCTATGGAACCTTGGGAATTACCCTAAGATTCATGTTTCTATGTAAGAAATTCCATTGCCTAGGCGATTCAACTAGTTAACAAGGTGCTCCCCCTTGCCTAACCTCACCTTGGTGCCTTGAAAACTTTGATTTTATCTCTTGGTTATGAATTATCAAACCAAGATAACAGAAAAGGTCACATTGATTTATCTCTTGGTTTCTAACCCTAACTGCACCTCAATCTGTGCTCCTATTATTATTAAATTTGCACAGCATATGCTCTGTTTTCTCCTACCTCTTGTTACTAAGGTATCCATAAAATTAATTATGCATTAACCTTTAATTAGTTTTATTAATTAGTACATGTTATCAGCAAACAAGCACCATGGACCCTCCTCCCGAGTATGTTTAGTCAATTCATCTAATTAACCGGCAAAACCGGGACTCGTGGAGCATTTAAGTTTTTCGTCCAGTCTGAGTCTTACAACATTGTAGTGAACAGACCTGCCATACAAATATGATAGGATCCTAACTAGGAGATTCTGATTGGTGAAAATTCTACAGACTCATGAAAATCCCACTGACTAAAATGATGGTAACTTATAATCTTCTAAACCTCTGAGTCGCATGCTTGTGCCAGATTCAATTACACCTACTATGACCGGAAATATGGGGCTATCTACAAGTCCATCGAAGCTTTGGACAAGATGGGCATGGAAATCGTAGAAACCGGAGACCCATATAAATTTAAACAGTACCTGTCAGAATTTGACAACACCATTTGTGGCCGACATCCCATTAGTGTTTTTCTCCATGTAAGTTACTACTTTTCCTTTTTCCTTAACGGACAGAAATTTAAAAAAAAAAAAAAAACTTTTTTTCAAATATGCTAGCAGTTTTTTATAACCTTTCTTTTCTCTCAAGCATTTTCTATTTTTAACTAAATGTTAATTCATCAGATGTTGAGGAACTGTTCGACAAAGATAAAGATTAATTTCCTACGATACGAGCAGTCAAGCCAATGCAAAACCATGAGAGATAGCAGTGTAAGTTATGCATCTGCTGCTGCAAAGGTGGAAGGTTGAAGTTGTAAGAATTAATCATCTAATTTCGATGAAATTATAGGGGCTGGTATACTTAATCTGTGTTTCGACTATGTAGTTTCTCGTTTCATTGCTTGCCCCTAGGAACTTATATGAAAGTCGATTTCTGGTTGGGGACATGATGCAAAAGCTGACTTCAATTTCTTTTGCAACAAATTTTTTAACCTTTCTCCCTTGTTTAGTTTCATGGTTTTGTTCTGTTTTACGGCAACTTTCACGTACAATATTAGAGTCTTTATAAGTAACTTCAAAGTTATTAGAAAAGCATCAATATATATAAGTAGTACAAACATCTCACAGAGGAGCAAGATGCAACCTTCACATAACTAGCTCATTAAGGCCAATGATTAGAGTATCCACCATCTTCTAACCAATTGTATGATCGTATCCTTCATTCTCGTGCACAGCTAGTTAGCCATTTAAATCCTTTCGTTTTATCCCCATAAGTCCAAATTACAGATTTTATCTTCTGTAACCTACCTGCCACTAGCTTGGAATCCCTTCAACAATTAGCTTGTCCATGTTCAAAATTTTACCTAGCTACACGACTACACCCCTTCAATTACTGCAGGAAATTTAGTCCTAATCGAGTCTCCTACACCCACTAGGCTTGAAAGCAAAACAGCAGCATGACCTTTATTTCTTAAAGCACCCCCTACTCTACAAGCTCCCATCCAAGTTTAGTTTGATAAAATCTTCATGAGGTGTCCAACAAGAGGGTACCAATTTACTTCTTGAAAAACTCATTGTCACGTCAACTCAATTCCCTTATATATCACCAAAAAATACGGGAAGAAGATATCCACTATTTTAATCAAATTTATCACCTAGTCAGAATTGCTTTATTTCTCACTTCTTTCCTTCTCCAAGAAAATTCTTGCATTTCTTTTTTTTTTATTTTTTTATAATGGTCCATATCATTATTGCCCCTGCACATTCCACATGACTCTAGTCCTTTTAGGCCACATAAAGGTAATGAGATCAGATAACCTATTCACCTATGCTGGCAAGTTCCATTTGCACTCAAAAAACAAAAATAAAATAAAATAAAACATTTCCAAATGCTTGCCATAAAGGGACAGGAGATTAATGGATGATAACAACTCTCCCCGTTAACTTTACAATATAGCATTATGAAGTAGCATTATCTTATACTGCTGGTCCCAAGCCCAGTTAAAGGTGAAAGGTTAAGTTTGCAGTCAACATGAAAACCTCAGTCAATCCAAAATGAATTTTAAATCATGAATAATTTTGTAAAATGCCATAGCAAAAAGAGTTAAGTGGTAGATCCCAAATAGTTGGAATTAAGGGTGAGTTGAGTTGAAAACAACAAGGCTGATTCCATTCATTTATAAAAAATTAGGTACAAGTGAAAACTAGACTGAACCAGCCAGTTGGACCCGTTGAACCATAATTTGGATCCATGGCCAGTTTAATTATACCTAAAACCTGCAATTCAAGAAAAAGCGATCAAAATTTGGCTAGTTAATTGGAGAAACGATGATCCAGTCAATGTTTTATAAAACCACCCAGTCACTAAGGTTAATTTACCTTTCCCTACTTTTTCCTTTAAACCAAACACAGCTTAAGGGAATGGATTGTTGGAAATGCCAATGGTAAGACTTGAACCCATGACCTTTTATTTGTACACACCCATTCTTTTATGCTCTTCAAATGTATGTATGGCTTTAATACACAGGCATTTTAAAGAAAACATGTGTTAAAGGACTTGAACTCTAGTCATTTGTTTTAAATTAAAAATTAGAAAATTAGCCATCTATCCATCAGATTCAAACATGATAATACTTGTAATATATATTATATAGTATTCATATGACTCAATATATAAATATATATATATATATATATATATATATATATATATATATATATTACGTCATCATGGTTCGACTTTTGGTTTAACAATAGTTGAACCTCTAACTCTGAAATCTCTCTTTTATAGTTCTATGCTGAATTTGATTCTCTAAATAGTAAATATTGATAAAATCAGGAGCTCTAGGCCACGTGTGAATAAGGGTGTCAACGGACCAGTTTTGGATTGGACCCCATCCAATTCAAAATCAATTTAGACGGATTGGGCGGACCAACAAGACATATTGGATTGGATTAAACCCGTCCAAAATATTTATTAGATTGGACTGGACCTGGTCTATCTGATAAATTTATATTGGATTGGACCAGACCTTGAATTGGACCAGTCCAAAATGATCCAAAATAGTCATTGGATTGGATTGAACCTGATCCATTTGTAATAGATTCACATTGGACTCGATCGGATTGGATCAAATCCAGTCCAATTGACACCACTAGAAATCATTCAAGCACGTTGGACTCTTGCATGAGCAATAGAGTTACATGAACGGTACCCAATTCCTACACCAGTTGAGTGTGGATCTGCTGGCCACAAAATGTTGTGCATAAGACCCAACAGCTGACATCGGGAACATCTTGTGTCATTTATGGGGACCAATGTGTGACTGTAGTACCTTGTGCACAGGATGTAGTCAGTAAATCCATACACCAGCCTTGTTGGTATGAAATGTGCCATCAACGTTCAAATTTACCCATCCACGCAGAGCTCTCATTTGCTGTTTAACGAACTGCACCTCGAGTGAGTTATAAAATACAGTAGGCCTCATGTATTTTATAAATATCATTGGTTTCTGATAGAATCCGGTGCATTAATGCTGGTATGATCGCACCCACAAGCAATGCAAGAGATGTCAATTGTGTTGGTATCAATCAAATAACCTTGCCGGTCTTCTTGCCTCTATTTGTTTTAATGATTTAAGGGGTCGTCATAACTCCCCCCTGCTATACAGCCATCGCATTCAGCTAATCCGAGTTATATTGAGTGATAGTAGGTTCATGGGAATGCTCCACGTCCTGAACACAAAGAAGAGATTTCTTGATTGAAACTGGGCTTGACCACTTGAGTCGCTACAATGATTCGGAGTGCTTCTTTTCAAAAATCCACCTATAAAATGATCATCCCAAGAACCAACAATCCACCCAAAGGTTGCTTTTTTGCTGAGTTGCCAGCCGATATCCCTCCATTCAGACAACCTTTCATGAATGGAACTGAGGAGTATCTAGTGTTCTAACAGTTAGAGGCTCACCAAAACATACAGCTTGTTTCGGTCCGCAAGTGAAAAACTAGATGCTCTAGAGCTTCAATCTCTCTTTTTCCACAGAGAACACAAACAGGATCGATATGAGCACTTCTTCTCGCTAAGGTATTATGCCATGATACAAAGATATTTGTTCATGCCTATCAATTTATCGTACCACTTCGGACATAATAGATATCCAATATGCACTGAAACTCTTACATTATAATTTATGAGGTAACACGAAATGAATTCATAGCCCTGTTTTTGCTATCTTTCTTTGTTTTGATGTCCTGTCCGTAATCCTTTTTTAATCCAACGACACAAGATGGTTGCTCTGAAAAAACAGTACATAAGAGATACTTTGGTTAACAATGCACTTGTAATTGTAAGCAAACCTCTTCATGGGCTGGGCTCAGGCTTAGTTTTTATCAAAATTTGAATGGGTTCAGTCCGAAACCTGAGCCTAAAACAGTGTAAAGCAAATCCCAAAACCTCGCTTTGTAAGAACTAAGAGGGCCCAGAAGAGGGCTAGAAGCCCTTTATCCTTCGTATTTATACACCAATATCCCCAAACTGGTGAGTCTTTAAGAGTTTTAGTTTAGAGAACCAATTTCCATGGCTGCCACCATGTAGCAGGATGACCATTACAGAAAACCATCCCATTTACCATACCTACTACACCTGGCTCGTGTATCTAGATGGGTTCATTCAGTGAACAATGTACTTAAATCCTTGGGGTTACTACGTTTCTCTGCTCCTCGGGCAACTCAACTACATATGGCACAATGGTTTCTAAACTCTTTCCTAGGGTAGCGTACAGCTGAGTTTCATGCTGTTTTGGGGCCTCTGAGACGTCTGGTGTATGTGGGTTGTGCTGTTGGAGAATGATTTTGGAGGAATCGGGTTTTCAGAAATTTCAATGCTTGACATGTTTAAATCTTTATAGTATCTGTTTATCAAAATTTTTTAGGGTTTGAGTTTTGACCTTACCATACTTGATATTATATTTAATGCAGATACCTTCTCTCAATACCTATATGTATATTACTAAATATATATTTTATAAGAAATAATATACATAATAGTAAAAAGGGTTGAGAGATGATTCAAATCCTTCCCCTTGTTTTTCATTATAGAAGTCTTGTCGTCTTCACCGTTGGCCTACCACGCCATTTCTGTTCAAGAGGAACATTATTACAATTGGATAAGACTGGTCATCATGGATTTAATGGATTTGGAAATTTGGAATAAGTTAAACAAGTTTGGGACGGGTTTGGAATCAATGGTTCTTAAATGGATTTGGAAATGGGTGGGACAATTTTTACAAATACCCTACCCGTTGCCATTTTAGAGGACAATGTTGGTCGTCCTTTGTCGGTGTAAATTGGGCTTCAAATTTATAATAGCCCAAATTACTAAAGACGTTCTATTGCTCTAATGCCCTCAACGTAGAGATTCAACCCAATAGGTATCTTTTTTTTGAAAAAGACGAAAATAGCCTTCATAGTTGTCACAAACTTTTTTCTTTACTATTAATAGGGACATTTTTGTCTTATCAATAGAGATTTGCTGTGCTAACGATAAAACGGGTTGTGCTGTGCCCTAATCCACCAACCCGACTGTTTCTGTTTGTTCTGATTTGTCTTCACCGATCTAGACTCTTGTATATTCACTCGAGAAAAATGCTAATCGTTAACTGCACCAGTCATTACTCATTAGAATCACAAAACGACAAAAACTATAAAAAAAGGGTGGTTTGGTAAATAAATGAAACTCATCACCAATTAATACATATACCCGTGATTAGATTTTGTCGCCTTCTGCTTTGAATGAGACTCATCACCAATTATACATCTGCTTCCAATAATCAAGGGCATAAATACATTTCGTTCCCCTTCATTTGCCACGTGGCAAGTATCGTATTCGTTGTGATCAGACTGGACCGCTCCTAGTCCTAGAACCCCGCCGCTGGTTCAGACCTTAGAGCAGCCCCGTCTTTATCATGAGTGGTGGAACTTGCCAATAACAAGGTGTGATGATTCAAGAGAGCGATCCCACCGAGTAATCCAGACACCGA